CCCCTAAACCCTAAACCCCCGAGACTGAGGATCTTTTCATGCGGCCCATGCTGCGACTCTCCAACGACCCGGTGAAGAACGTCCGGCTCTATTGGGCTAGGATCTGAGAATTGGGGTTCTACATGGCAATGGGTTTGCTGTGCTGAAGTAGGTTTTCTGGCTTGCGGTGCTTTGAGTTCTCGGTCGATGGTTGAGGTTTTATGGTTCAGGTTTGGGGGTTTGGGGGGCGGTCTTGGGTTCAGTATGTACCGACAAGAGCAGCATAGAACGGCGCCATCTGCATCATCGCTGTCTGCCTCATCATCACACGCATCAACATCGTTATCATGAGAATTGCCGTCAAAGGCACATCGCAAAAAAAAACACTGCACGCGACGACGAATCATCATCATCACCACCATCATCATCACTGTCATCACCATCACCATCATCATCATCATCATCACACTCGCCGCCATCGCCATCACCATCGCCTTCGTTATCGTGTTCATGATCAACATCTACAACAGAAGCGTTGCCACCATCATCCTCGTCATCATCTCATTCATGAGGAGCATCGTCATTGACGTCATTGTCGTCATCATCATAACCGTCACCATCATCATCATGAGCATGAACAGCACGGTCCTGCAGTTCATTATCGTTGTTCTTGACGCCATAGTTCCCTACATCCCCGAGATCAGCAATAATGACAAACAAGCAACTGCTACAGTGCAAAAGACATGGTTGCAGAACAACAAGCACAACAATTGAAACACAGACAGCATCCGCAAATGACAACGGCACCACCACATTTAGCATTATCTACAAATACCATCACCTTCATGATATTTATCGCTTCCACCACCAACAACATCACCAAGATCAGCGGGAGCCACACAATGACCTCTTCGTGCCTATGCTTATCGCTTCCGTTTCCGTCATCGCTAGCATCATCTTCATGTGATGTTGTTGATGATGATTATGATGACGGTGGTGGTGATGTTGATGATGATGATGATGACGATGGCGATGATGACACTGATGATGACGGTGATGATGATGACACTGTTGATGGTTGATGGTTGGTGATGATCGTCATCATCAACGTCGTCGTCATAATCATCAACATCACCATCAGCAGCATCCTTGCCATGGTTTCCAGTGACGGCGGCATGGCTATGGGTGGGTGGCAGGGCCTAAACCCTAAACCCTAAACTCTAAGCTTATAAGCCCTAAACCCTAAACTCTAAACTCTAAGCCCTAAACCCTAAACTCTAAGCTTATAAGCCCTAAACCCTAAACCCTAAGTAGTCTCAGAGAGCCCAGGCCTGTCTCTGGAAGCCCAGGTAGTCACTGTGCTGCCACACCTCCGTAAGGTGGGTCGACTTGGCCCGGAGCTTGGTCATTTAAACAAATAAAGTCCCAACTTTAAACACTTTAATTATTGAAGCTTTTCACGAACATGAGGCTGTAGGAGTTTAGGGTTGAAGTTAGGGTTGAAGGGCTTGTCAAGGTCTGTTCACAGCTTCCGTGTCCGGGGTGTGCAGGATTTACAGACGTACACTTTCCATCTCTGGAGCCTGGTTTAGGGCTTTTAGGGTTTAGGGTTTTCGGGTTTTGAGCTTAGGGTGTCGGGTTTTGAGCTTCATGTCCTGACGGCTTTTATGCCGTCGTAACTCAGCAGTGAAGATGATTTGCAAGCCACGTCGTAACTCAGCAGTGAAGATGATTTGCAAGCCACGTGGGAAGGGACAACGCTCTAAGGTTGAATGCCGTTGCAGTACGGAACATGGATTCGCTGCCGAAAGATATCCGAAAAGTACCAAGAGCATTCACAGCCACGCACAGTTTGAGTACTTACGCACCTGCTCTGTCCGGAACCGTGAACCTTCAAAGCATTGTTCTGAAAATACCTCCGCCCCGACGCACGAAACCAGGCTTGTACATGGCTGCATCTGGCATGCCGCGTCTGATCTCAAGCGCATGGCCGAAGGCTACATAGTCAGCTTTGTTTTGGTTCAGGGTTTCTGCTTAAGCTTTCAAGTTTCGTGGCTAAGGTGGAATGAGCTTCGGGGACTATCAGTGCATCAGGATCCTTCGGCGCAGGCCTCGTAGATAGGAATCGTCGTCCGACATGCCTTTCGTACATGCTTCCGATCGCGATCGCGACTTCTTTGTGCCCGACAAGGAGCTTCGGCATTTCTGCCGGGTTCTGTCAAATTTATCCCAGGAGCAGCCTAGTCATGCCGAAGTGGTCAAAGCGCTGGCAAATGACATGATCCTGCCCTTTCTTGCGGTCTCCTGGCAGCCACTTTCTGTGGTGGCTGCCGGAGGTCATCACACCTGTGTGGTGACAAGGAACAAGGAGCTCGTGTGCTTCGGGCACAATGACTTTGGCCAGTGTGAGGTCCCACCGAATCTTGGCCCGGTAATCTCGGTTGCTGCGGGCTCCGAACACACCTGTGTTCTCAAGGCCAGTGGGCAAGTGGTGTGCTTTGGAAACAACGAGTTCGGACAGTGCGACGTGCCCTCCACCCTGGGCCCAGTCGTTGCGGTGGCAGCGGGAGGTATGCACACCTGTGCGCTGCAAAGCAACGGTGCCCTAGTCTGCTTTGGCCAAAGCAGCCTTGGGCAGTGCGACGTGCCCAATGACCTTGGCCCAGTAGTCTCTATCGCTGCAGGGGGGGCCCACACCTGTGCCGTCACCGCCACGGGCCAGCTCGTAGCTTTCGGAGACAATGCTTTCGGCCAGCTCAATGTGCCACCGAACCTGGGCCAAGTCACGGCCGTGGCTGCCGGAAGCCACCACACCTGTGCCCCTCGGCTTCTTTCCGGCACATTTTTCCTGCAGGAGTCGATAGCGCCTTTTTTCGACTGAAGTTGCCAATGCGCTTAGATGTTGTAGGCCTGACCTTAAGCTACCATAACCTGCTTTTTTTTGTAGGCTTTTCGTGTAATCACACCTACATCCCAATCTCGAACTTGTAGGAAGCCTGCAAAAAAGCTAGGTTATGGTATGTCAAGGAGTCAAGGGCCAGGGAAGGCCATAAACTCAACTCTGACTCCTGCAGGCCGTGACGGCTTCCGCGGGCCTCGTCTCCTTCGGAGGCAACATCCTTGGGCAGTGCGACTCGCCCCCGGACTTGGGCCCTGTGGTGGCCGTGGCTGCCCGGCTTCTCTACACCTGTGCGGTGCGAGCCACAGGAGAGCGGGCTTGGGGTTTTGGTTGCTCTTGCTGGCTGGTTCTCTTTCATTGCTCCTCTATGGCCTATGACCAGTTGATGTAAGTCACATCACATGCGCCATCAATGCATTCATCATCAGCAAAATCATCTTCAGCATCTATCCTCGTCTTCATCACCAGGTCGTCTCTTGCCCACTGCAACTTCGGTGTCTTACAGGGCTTTGCTGCTTCATCTTCGTATTCCCCACCGCCAACACCAGCCCCACCACCACCACTACCACCGCCGCCACCTCCGCCACCTCCGCCGCCGCCGCCGCCACAACCACCACCACAGCCACCACCACCACTACCATGATTAGATAGTGTCTTACTGCGGTCACTGCTACAACAATCATGACACTGGGCCTCAGGAGAATTGGTCTGCTTTGGCTGCATTGACTTCGAGGAGACAGTCATTGTGTTCGGACTATGAATGTAGGGCCTTAATAAATAAAATGATAATTATCTTAGTGGCTGAGTAGGCAACCTTTAACCTTTTGGGCTTATATAAACCAGTTATATAATTCAGAAGGTTAACCTTTTTTGGGCTAAGGTACTCGGCCCCTAAGTTTTTAAGGTCCCTACATTACTCCCTCTTCGGGTTTACTTTCGGTTCGCTCTATGAGGCCCTTTATCCTAAAACCCCAGTCCGGGTCACGCCTCTCAATATTTAGTGATCTAAACCCTAAGCCCTAAACCCAAAACCCCAGTCCGTGCCACGCCTCTCAACATTTAGTGATCTCGTGGAAAATCTATAGTGAAAAGAAGTCTATATTGAGGTGGATCTGCGCTATTCTCCAAGGTATAAGCTTATACGATACCATAACGCATATAGGCAACTGAAGAAGACAAAGCCCTGGTTATCCAAGACAAGAGGAGCCACAATAGGAAGGGGGGATATGCAGAACCCCTAAACCCTACACCCTGATCAAACCCTGAACCCTAACCCCAACAAGAGCTAGGGATCTCTGAATCACCTTCTACATCTCCTACATCTCCTATAGGGTTTCTGGTGTTAGGACATGCACCAACCGCCCGATCTTGGGCCGATAGTGGCCGTGGCTGCCGGGACCTGCCACGTCTGCGCGGTGAAGAAGTCGGGGGAGGTGCGGTTTCAGCGCCCTTGTGGTTGAGCACATATAGGATTTGGGCACGGTGTTCAGCGAGCTGGTATATAGTGTCTAAGTTTGGGGCGCCTTAGGCTTTTAGGGCAGGGCCAGGGCGGCAGTGCCTGCAATTCTAGCGGGCTTGGTGAGCTTCTGCTTGAAACCAGCTAGTTGACCCCCAGTACTTGCAAGACCCCCCCGAGACCGTTATAAGCGCAGGTGGTCTGCTTCGGGCACAACGACTGTGGCCAGTGTACCGCTCCCTTTGAGGGGCTCGTGGCCGACTGCGATCGTTTTGCTAAGGGTTAAGCGGTTTGAGGGCTTTCGGGTCTTTGCGGGTTTGAGGCATAAGCATAGGGTTTCAGTCTTCGGGGTGAGGGTTTGGGCGTCAGACGTTTGGTGTGTTTGGGCTGTCTAGAGTCTTGCTGGAATTCGACCGACTGAGGTCTACCCTAGACTCAGTCTCTAGACGCCAAACCCCCACAATGGAATGTGGGCTCTCGCGACGGCCGGAATCACGGCCATGGGCAAGCATCGTCTTCAATAGGGTCTACATTGTGGTTATCGTTTCCTTCACCAGTCTTTTCCTTTCTACACTATGTCAGCATGGAAACCGCGTAACCCTTGGTCTATGCATGAATGCCCCGATGCCCTTATAAGTGAACCTCTAGACCAGACAGCAGATGTCAATATTTCCGGGCTCCTGCCTACAGCCCGTTCGCAGGAGCATGCACTCAGGGTACTCACCATCCATTATGCTGCGGGCTGCTACCGAACGTTGTAGACTCTGGGTATCGCAAGGGCAAGGCGTGCCGGATGCTTCCCTCGGCCAGGAATGCAAATTTTCGCCTCGGCAGGCACATTGTGCAACTTCTTTCCATGTCGAGTGCCGGAATTGGCAGCCTTCCCACAGGACCAGGCGCATTAAAGGCTGAGCATTCCGAAGTTGGAGGGGAACAGCAAGATGATGTGCAAGCTCACCCCCCGAAAGATCGCTCTTGGTCCTTTGGGTCAAAGACTGCTCTGACCCAACTTCTTGTGTGTACTTGAGCTACTGGTTGAACGGGGCTTTGGCGCAGTCAAGGGCGGATGGCAGCAAGTCGCTCATCAGGCAGCAGTCCTTCGAATCGCGATGCGAAGCTGATGAATACCCATAGGCCCCTAAGTAGTTCCTTTTTGGGATTTCCTTATAGGATTCTAAATCAACCATAAAAAGGAACTACTTAGGGGCCTATGAATAACTTCCACTTCTGCAAGGGCCTTATAGTATTCAAGGATCCTTAGTCGACTGCTTAGTAAGAGCGGGTGGTAGTAATCAGGCCTCTATAGATCAGCTGGGAAACTAAACCCCCTAAATCCAAAACCGATAACCCCCAGTCTCTAAACCCCTAAACCCTAAACCTCAAACCTCCAACCCCAAATCTGTAAACAGGGTTTAGAGATTTTGGTTTTAGGTTTGGTAGGGGTTTACGGATTTAGGGTTTATAGGCTTATAGGGTTTAGGATTTAGTGATTTAGGGGCTTAGGATGATGAATGTTCACGAACCTTGTAACCAAACGTTACTGCAAGCCTTCACCCCTAAACCCAGAAGCGACCCAAAAGATCAAGCCTCTCATCTCAACGGCCTCTGGTATAGGGTTTCGGGTTTAGGGCCCTATACCTCTAGTATAGGGTTTAGGGTTTAGGGCCCTATACCTCTAGTATAGGGTTCAGGGTTTCAGGTTTAGGGCCCTATACTCCTGAATAGTTCCGCTACAAAATACTTTCAAGTTTGTAAGCCAACTGCTGCAACCGGATTCGTGCGTGTCGCATCTTGAGCCGTTTCGGTGCTTGCGTCTGAGGCCCCGGGTCAACTGCTTACTGGTAGCGTGACACTGACTACTGTAGACCCCTGATTCATGAACCCCGAAAGACCCTAATGCTGGCGTCTCAATTGCAATCCTTACCCGAGGGGAGGTGTTTTATCAATCAGGGGCCCCACTCTAGCCTAAACCCAAAGCCCTAGACCCTCAACCCTAACCTCCCTCAACCTCCCTCAATCCTCAACCATCACCCCTAACCCCCTAAACCCTAGTCAGGGGTCTGCAGTAGTGTCAGTGTAAGGATGTCGCTCTGCATGCCGCAAATCTTGCAAAAGAGTCGGATGCGAGAGAATGGGCCTCGTAGGAGGTTGGGGCTTTGGGGGTTTCGGGGTTCAGGGGCTTATGCGGCTTAGAGGTTTAGGGTCCAGTTAGGGGTTTAGGGTGCGAAATGTAGGGTTTAGGGGTTTACGTTTTCAATTTTCGGGTTTAGGGGTCGTATATGTCTTGCCTTCAGTGGCTGACCTGTGGTCACGTATCAGGGTCCCATGGGGGTTTGCAGCTTCATAGGGGGAAACTTGACAGCGTTATCCGGGCAGTTCTTCAAAAAGGGGCGCTATGAAGAAGTCTACTATTTAGAGTCTAGATTGGGGGCGAGAGTGAAAAGGTCGTTGGTATTAAAGCATAGTTTCGGGCCCAGGGAGCGCGCTATACCGTAAACCCTCCTAGCCCCATCGATATCGTCTTATAGGGTTCAGGGATATCGGGCTCATAAGGCTTAGAGCTCGGGGATTTGGGTTTAAGGCTTGGGGTTTAGTGCTCTAGGTTCACCAGTAGTACCCTTTTGCCCTTTTTCTTTCTGGCTATGCGTGTTAAAACCCAAAGAGTAGGAAAAAGGGTACCCTTATTATTGAGGGGCTACTGGGGAACCTAGCGCTTCAAGGGCTGGTAGGGTCTAAGGTTCTGCAGGGTGACTGTGCCTTTGGATGCCGGGCGCCCACACCCTTTACCCAAAGTGCACCTGTGACCGAAAAGACCTACCTTTTTAGGGCTCCTTATTATGGTTTCTATATATAGTTCCTGAAAAAGGTAGGTCTTTTCGGTTACAGGTAGGCCCTAGACCGATAACCGATAGCCCATGATCATTCAACCCGCTCGCCACTGTACGACAGACTCTCACTAGCAGTCCTTGCGTTTCATTACACCTGTAAGCCCGAAACTCTAACATCTTGAAGGCTACAACCTGGGTCGCAGCCCCAAACCCCGAAAGCCAAAAACCTGATACCTAACCACAGTCTCATAAGTCATAAGCTTTTCCCAGTCATCAGACTACTTCGAAATCGTGCGACCTCCGCCCCCGTAAAGCCCTTAAATCAAAAGCAAAGGCACACAGCGAGCCCAAGACCGCTTTTGTTTTCTCTAAACCCTGACCCCTAAACCCTGTATGGGTAGTTCTCTAAATTAGGGTCCCTGTTAGGGTCCTTTTTATAAGTGTGCCGTACTTTTTTAGGGACTTAACAAGGTACCCTATCCCATATAGTAGAAGCCAGAAAGTTGGAACGTCATTACCC